TGAAACATCGAATGATAGCGAATAATTCTTTATTATAAATCTCATAATTGCATTCAGCCGGAGAGTGTTTCTTTGAAAAGAATATGATAAAATATAATATTCTGTCATTTTCGTATTGAGATAAGACTCCAACAGATATGTAATTAGAAATATCAATTTCCAAGATAATGTCACGGGTTTAGTCAAATGATTGCAAGATCAAAGCATCAGTAAAAGCTCTCTTTAAATTATTTAAAATTTCTTAATAAATAGACGTCCATTCTCACGGGACATTTTTTCGAGTCAGGGCAACAAACGGGATAGTAAGTTTTGAAAAATCTTTGATAAACCGACAATAAAAATTGTCAAATCCTAAAAACGCTTGTATATCTGTTACACAAATAGAAATGAGCCAATTAACAATTGTGTTAACTTTTGCGAGATCCATTCGGATGCTTTTCTGGTCGATAATCAGGCCCAAGAACTTAGTTTTGGAAACTACGAATTCGCATTTAAAGAGTTTTGCATACAAGTTAACGTTTTGTAACTTTTGGAGGATTAAACAGACATGCTTTATATGTTTGAAATAGATGCGGCTATAGATCAGAATATCGTCCAAATAAACAGTATAAAAAACATCAAGATAGTCTCGCAAAATATCGTTTATATATTGTTGGAATGTTCCGGGGGTCCCTGTCAGTCCAAAAGACATCATTAAAAACTTATATAGATCTAAACGGGTTCGAAAGGCAGTCAATCATTCCTATCCATTTTTAACACGGAAATTATTAAACGTGTTAATAATATCGATTTTAGTAAAGTAACGCATGCTTTTGAGATTGTTCAGAGTCTTTTTTACGAAAAGTAGCGAATATCGATCTTTGATAGTAATTGCATTTAAAATTTGATAGTTGACACAAAAGCACAGATTTCCGTCTGGTTTTTTCACAAACAGAACTGGAGATGCAGCAGACAAAAAACTTGAATAAATAAATCTTTTTTTTAGATTTTTTAATAATTATTTTCAGAGCGCTGAGAATTCCTTTCGAGACATACCATAGAATGGCCTAAACGGGAGTCTTTTTTTTGATTCAAGAATAATCGTATGATTGTAATCTCGATGTGAGAGAAGTTTTTTCGCTTCTTTTGAAAAAAAGACATTTGCAAAGTCTTTAAATTCATCTGGAAACTCAGATTCGGATAACTTAGAAATAATTTGAACTGCTTTATCAATTTGTTCAATTATTAAAACATAGACTTTATTTTCCCTGCGGGCGTATGCAACATAAATAGCTAATGAGACCATTTGGAAGTCTCAATCTCTCAGAGATTCAGGAGCCTTCAGATTTGTGAGTTTGATTCGGGCAGAGACATCATGCAGAACTCGGATCTTAACAAATTGAACTGAAATATTGCAATGCTTCTGACAATATGAACTGAAAAATTGGAAAATATGTTCTACAAAACTCATGCAGGGATCATGAATCTTTAATCATGATAAATCAATAATAATAGAGAAATGTGCTAACTGAATAATTAAAAATGAGACATCCTTTTCGACGTGATCATGAGTCTTTAAGGTCATGCGGATATAATGGATGATAATGCCAGCTTCGTTTTTATAGCCATCAAAACCCATTATAGACTTAAACTTGTTCAAGAGATATAGAATCAGATGATGGGCTTCGACCCAGCTCTTATCTATAACACAAAATATAGAACAATCAATATCAAATATAATATAAATAACGATCTCGCCCTGTCCGGGATTCAAAATAATAAAAATAACCAATAAGTCAATCTTTCAGAATTCTTTTTCGATTGAAAGTTCTCTAATAACAGCTTCAGATATTCGGTATATTCGCACGGGAAGATCCGTTTGGCTGCGATTTAAGCCAGGCTGATTCCTTTTAATTGTTCGCTCGAATCTAGGAAATATAATCGTTCAGGCTGGAGCATAGCGCAGGACTGGAAAGCCTGAATTGAAGAAGATACAAGTAGATTCTAGAATATAGAATGCGGTACAGAGGCAAGTGACCATCTCTTAGGAGACAAAGCAGTTCTAAAAGGCGAGACAAAACGGGCAATATAGTTGATCTGATAAGTGCGATTATCAAACTCGGGGCAGTCCTTAATAAGATGTTGGCTAGAGCCGCAACGAAAGCATTCACCTCGCTCTCTGCGGGTTGAATCATGGGGTTTAGGGGGCGGACAACGTGTGAAAAAGAGATCCATAGCATCAGGATCAGAAATAGCTAAAACAGATTTAAATGTTTTAGCAATAACATTTCAAAACAAGCTTCTAGGATTTTCGATAACAAGACAACACGAGAAACTTTGAATACCGAAAATCGGTCTCCAAAACTAATTTCGAATATATTGTTTGCGACAGTTTTCGAACTTCTGCAAAAAAATAACAAGATCGATATAATTGCCAGTAAGAAGTTCTTGATGCATCATCATATTTTTTAATTCTTGATTCACAGCTTTTTCAAGAAACGTAAAAAAGCCATTTTCAGCGATTTCTCTCTCCATAACAAAGCGTTGAAATTCAACAAAAAAAACAGAAAACTCTTGATTCTTTTGCTGCAGACTATAAAGAGCAGTTTGAATGTTATAAACGCGATTTGGATCACCATAGACTCGATCCAATATTTTCAAGATATTGATATAATCATTTAATTGACAGATCCTGTCTTTGATATACAATAAGACCTGAACATAGAACAGTCCCTTCAAACAATTGGAAACGTAAACCATGCGGGTTTGAGATGTCGAAAAACGATCACGATTAACAGTCATTTTTTCCTTAATCTGAGAGATAAAACGACAGAGATTTGATTAGATACCTTCAAATTTATCGAAATCGGACAGGCGTTCGGAAAAATAAGCAAAAACAGAAGATCCGGAATTGATTGATGTAGACATTCTCGCTAAAGTGACTGAAAATTTTTCAACAAATGGTTCAAGAATCTAAGTCAGAGCGCTAACTACTGATGTAATTATCTGAATAGTCTGATTTTGTTCCTTTATAACTTGATCTCTTTCTTTAAAAGCTATATTACAGACACTTATGGCTTCAGCCAGCTGATGAATCATCTTCATTTTTTTTTGCTGAGATTGTTCAGTCTAAAAAGCTAGCAATAATTCCTTTTTATTAAGATCCTGACTGGTATCCACTGCATAAGAGTGAATCTTTTTGCAGTAACTATATCATTCCGAGACATGTTCAGCAACATGCTGGACTAGTTCTTCTGGGTTGTTCGGGAAAGACGGGGGATTCGAGATAGCTGTCATTTTTGGGCGGACACCAGCTCTAAAGAGGGGAGCTACGTAGTGTCAAGGTGCGGGCTGGCGGGGGTGGTAGAGCTGATGGCAGGCAGGCAGGTAGGCTAATAGTTCATAGTGTCTCTGAATTGCTACAGGATCAAGCTATATACAGGCTGATAGACAAGACGTAGCTCGAAGAGCTACAACAGGATCTTTATAAGGACCTTGGGTCTCTAAGGGGTTTGCGATAGGTGTGAAAGGTAATAATGACTAAGAAACAGGTGTCGCGAGGTATCATTTCAAGAATAAGGTCAATATGGTAGATTAACGCTGAAGAAGCCAACGTGGTTCTTCCGCGAGGATGGGTTCTATGTGTGCGATGACTCAGCCCGCAGCTGAGTCATCCGCGAATGGTCTTGTAGCTAGATATATATCGCGAGGGTCTTACAATCTTCAAGCAAGCGGGAAGATATGCAGATCCCGGAACGGATAATATGGCCTTCCGGGCCATGGTTAGAAGGTGCCTCAGGCATCCAGGTCTGCACCGTGACACTTTCTTAGATATTATTGTCTTTTATATCTATTGCAAAACCCTCCAAGGTCTAAGGTCCTTGTAATATAGATTTTAAATTCTATATCTAAAACTCGCTGTAGACAAGCTGAGTGTTACGAACCCCTGCTACACCAAAAGCCGCGGGGCAGAGATGATAGGCTGACGGCAGCCCAGGACCCGTGACGCTACCAGGAAGGATTCAATCACGTGATATGGTATGTCGATATCATATGATATGTTGTATACCATTGGATATGTTGCGATCAAATGGTATAGAAAGGACCAGATGGTATGCCAGATGGTATATTCATGAAGAACTATATAAAAACATTCGTTATTCGTCTGTTAAATAATTCTTGTTTAGTTCTTCGCGTTCAATACAATCATTGTCTTTGATAATTACTTTTCGGTAATTGCTAATACAATTCGTTCACACTCTATCACAAAAAGATATACGTATTAATCTGGCTCTATTTCTTTTTTAATTGTTGAAATCTTTTGATCATTATTTTAGTTTATCGAAATCTTGGAAAGATTCATTCAAAACTCCGTCGATCACTTCGGAACTTGGAATTCTTAGATAAGTATCACCCGTTTCCAAGAATAGTTGGACTATTCGCTGGAAGGCTCGAACTATAACCAATCTAGCAGTCAGCACAGCTTCAGCGGATCCTAGGGTTTGACACTGAGTTTGATCAATTCCCGCCCGAATCTGCACTAAACCCAACTCTAATTAAAATTATTATAATAATTTCATAATTAATTTGCTGTTGCGGTCAATGATAAATTTTCAAATAAATATAATAAGAATAATTTATTAATTTAATATTATAAATTTATAAGATTGCAAAATTAACTGTTTCCTAAAAAAAATTATTATATTCTAATAAACTTTAATAAACTTTAATATTTTTATTAATAATTTCAAATAAAAAATAAACGATTTCTATATTTAATTAAATCTTATTAATATATAAAAATCTTAAAATCCTTTATTAAATAATTCTTTTTCTCTTCATAAGAAAATTTGTCTTTTACTAAGCTCCTTTGTAGACCGTCACACCAAAGGCCACCAGTGACAACCAATCAATTCATCAATTTCATTGAGCTTTCTTCGCATGCACAAGCTATGGGTTATAAGGACGCCCGAGCGCGGCCTAAAATTCTTGTTTTGATTGATTGTTGCCCCTTTTAAAGGTCAAACGGGCGATTTGTGATGCCATGCCTCTAGGCAGATGGTGTATCTTGGAAACATACAAGGGCTGACTATGCCTCGCTGCCACCTCCACGAGTCCAACGCCTCATCGACGGTCACTGGGCAGATATTATCATTGCCATAGACACTGACACGAAGCTGGTCAAGCTGCATGAGCAGGCTCGTAGTGGCATCGCCCTGAAGTAACACACCGTTCTCGAACGACCGGCCCTGGTGTACCATATGACACTGTGTGGGCCATAGGTACGAGGTGCCAAGATACGCAGCGTCACAGTCAGCGATGATAGCGTTAAAATGCGGGCGCGGCTCCCACCAACTCGTGTCCTCCACTCGCAGGTTTGCGGGATACTGCAAAATTGCGTCGGCGAGGAGCAGCGCGGACGTAGGGTCGACCTCCCGAACCTGTATATGTACATCGAGACCATTCTCCACGCGATCTATGAGTGTCTGTGTCATCCTGGGATCTACAAGCTCGGAAATGCTGACTATCAGCTGACTCGAAGCGCCACGGATCAATGCATCCTGGGCGCGGCTGATATACGTGAGACCTGCGACTGGGTCGTTGATCACCACTCCGAGACTCGCCAGCTCCGAGGCGAGCTCGGCCCGGCGCTCTTCAGTCGCATCATGATGAATGGCCTCGTCTGCGTAACGCTGGAATGCCTCGGCAGCCGCTGAGGGTAGTTTGATTGAGAAATCTGCTTTGTCGATGGGCCGTGTGTCCATAACAGCACCTGTACTGAATATCACATGGGTGTCGATGATGATACCTTTAGCATGCATTACCTGGCGTGTTCCGCTAGCAGGGGTAGTGAACATATTCACATGGATACGGTTGTCGGTGAGCACCTTCAGATACTTGTGGTACTCTGGTGATTCCTGGAACTGGGTCGGTCCGAGCTTAGATGCAACAATTGCCATCTCAGCATCTGGATTCTGAGATCGGAAGTCAACCAGCGCATGGAGAACGCTGCGAGCATCGCCTTGGCTGCTCACTGAGAGATTGAATACAGTTAGCTTGCGTGGTATGCAATCGACACCATTCCGGAAATGCACGTTCCCCTCAGGCTGCGCATGGTCTCGAATGAACTGCTCAAACACGGCGAGATGCTCAGCACCATTAGTCAGTAGTGGAACTGTGCCAGAGGGCAGGCTGCCCAGTAGCGGATCCAGCGAACACCCACTCTTCCTTCTTGGCCCACCAATGGTTGCCTGGCCGCGGAGCTCGTCTTCTCGGAACAAGAAAGCGTCAACATCGAAGGTGGCACCGAAATCAAGGGACATGACAGTCTCATAGCGGGGTGCGACTTGGGCCGGTTCGATTACAATTCTCTGCTCGGAACCGTTGTAGGATATGCCGGTTGCCATCAGCTGGCCTCCATCTCCCACTCTAATCATGTACGGACCATCAAGCTCACGGCCACGAAGACGAGCCTCGAACTGCTCGCCCTGACGGAGCGGTCGTCGCACCTCAGTCCGGGGTATCATCGAGGCCATACGTATGATCCCATGCTTCAACGGGCCCAGCATATGCAAGCCATTCTCGCTGGGAAACTGCACGTGTGTCAGGTCGGCACCGGCCACCGTGACCATTGATGGCGGATCCCGCGGGTCAACCAATTGTAGCGTCGTGTCGAACATGTTCGGTGCAACTTCTAGCGATACTACGCGCCAGCGAATACCATCGAGAATCGCCGGGCGGCCGGCAAATTCCTCAATGCGCATATCCTGGTGGACGGCGCGCTGATCACGCAGCACCAGTGCGTTTTCGGGGCTCACGCCCATCACATCGTAGAGCTTGCCATCTAGTTGCACTGGCGTGGGGACACGCGCCCGCTCTTTCCGCAATCGCGCGTGCAATGGAAGAATTGGATCGTAGTGTAATCGCATTGCATTGCCAGCTAAGCGGGCTGCCGACCCGCGTGTCCCAGGATATCGTTATTATGCTGATGGGAACGATTTAGATTTCTTTTTCCCCCCCAGTGAGCCCCCTGTAGAGCGGGATTATATCCTCACTTCCGGGGCGCCATGCTGGATACACAACCACATGGTCTTAGTTATATTAGTGATGTCAGCATGCTTTGTGTCAAAACTCTAACTCATACAAGGAGGCAAACTGGAATGTGTGCTTTAACGAAGGAATGTTACATTAGGGTGAGAATTTGACGTCACATCCCAGCGACCCGGCCGGGCCGCCAGCTGGCCTCGTCCGGATCGAGGTTTTCCTCACGCGACCAATTGGTTGCAATGGAACCCATTGGTTGGTCTGTCGAATTGTGGACATTAAGCATACGCTTGTAAGGTCTTTTCCAACGATGCCGACGGGTATTGTCGAGGCGAGGGGGTTGGTATCGTGGTGCTCAAACGTCTTAGCGATGCCAGTCGTGCTCGAGATAATATGCTAGCTGTCGTTACCGGCGTAGTTCGCAACTACAACGCCGGGACCGGCCCAATTACGCATCCAGATAAGGATGCACAGGCAACTCTCTATTGGCGCGTGCTGCAACAGGCCGCTATACATCCGCATAAGGCCGGCGTCGTCGAAATGCACGGCACTAAAGCCCAAGCGGACGATCCCGTAGAAATACAGGGCGTCTTTCCCTCTCCGAACCGACCCCGACGCGATCAGCCCCACGTAATTGATACTATCAAGGCTAACATCAGGCCTAGCGGAGCGGCGGCGGGTGTCATATCATCCATTCGCGATCGACACCCTAGTCCATATAGCCGGTTTACAACATCTAGCTTACTGGCATTCATAATATCCTCATTACGCTCAACACGAATGTCCGTTTGAAGAAAACGAGATTTCTCTGCCCTACTAACCGGCCCAGCTGCGGCGCAGCCACAAAGTCGCGTATCCAAGCCAATCCACGTGTCAAATGGAACGCTACAGTAGCTTGTCCGGAACAGCAACTTCGGAATCGTCATCGTCCGCTCCGAGTAGCATATCAGACGATAGATCTTGCCACGGGGCTGCCGTATCTACGCGCTTGAATCTCCGTTCCTAGAACGCCCCGAAGAGTTTGATCTCTCCATCGAGGAGATGGCGTCCGTCCTCCTGCGAACCATGCGTAGGATTCAACCGCACGGCCCCTATCCCATCGGCGGATGGTCCGTTGTATCGATGTACGCCTACCAAGTGGCCCATCGCCTCGTCAGGGAGGGTGAGACCATAACAGCGCTCGTTATTCTTGGCATGCGTGCCCCGTCTCTCATCCCGACCACCACCGTGTTGACAGACTTCGTCGAAAAGCTCGGTACCTTCCAGGGTATCAACTGCGCGCGCGACTTGCCCGAAGATCTTTCCGCCAAGAAAAAAGCACATTTAATGACCATCTGTCGGGCTCTGCCGCGTTACGATGCTTCCTCCTTCCTCCGGGTTGCCAGCCACGCAACATCACCGTCATCTGGGCCCGACTCGGACTCGAGAATCGACCAGATGATCCCGTTTCTGCGATGATTCGCACTGGGCTGAACATCGGCAAATCCCTGATTGAGATGACGCTGCCCGAGTTCGAACATTATTTCAACTCATGGTTCTACAGTCGCCGTAAGCAGTTTTGGACCAATATATGGAAGAAACTCCTTGGAGATGACATTTCGATTCACACTGCAGACGGCAGTTCGTGCACCATGGTCTTTTAGGGTTTACATTAGCTACCCCTGACATTCACCATTCACAGATCACCTTTCTATGATGGCATCCCCATTCTCGCGAGCGGTTGGATCAATTGTTGTAGGCACTGTGGCGCGCGCGGTGGTTGACGAGTAAACCCAATGGTACTCGCTCAAATACGGATGGATCGATGTATATTGCATTGCGGATACACTGTGTCCTCTGGCCTCTTCGTCCTCCCTTGCTTTACAAGATCTCGGACGTATAAACCCTCCTCTAGGATCTCCTAAAAGGATGAATATCCATCCAACTTATACACCTGACACTGGTCTATTATAAAGGAGACAGTGAGGAAGACAATAAACACGGAAACAACGCCCCAACATTATATTCTTTAAAATGAACCTACATGCCTTGTTCACCTTTATGCCGAGGAGGGTGAAAAGACGAGAAAGATGATCAAGACCATACAAATCCATCAAACGTCTTTGACCGGAAGTCTAGTGCTTCGCCCCAAGCAAGCTATGAGGTTCCATACCTCTCCAACGAGTCTCAACCTCTAGTGACCATATGGTAACTGGATAATTGTTAGATAAACCGTGCAAGCGTCATATCAGGACTGAGTCACCCGATCCTCTGGCGGCGCTGGTTGTCATCATAATAATCAGTCAGATTAGAGATCCATTGAATCTTCTCGAGGTTTCCAAAAGCAGATACGCGTTAGCAGGTTCCTTGCTAACAATATCACTAGTCTGCTCAGTAATATCCGCAATGACATAATTGCCACGTTCCATTGCAGGGAATAACTTAGGCCACCGTCGACCTATGGCATCAATACGAGAGCTACGGCTTAGGATCTGAGAGCCCATATGGACAAGCCGCCTTTATGTCCCTAGGCGGGGTTTAGTCTCACGCGTAGTGGCTAGATCAAGAATCCTGCACGGGCAAGAGTGTCCTACCCTTCGGATGTCGTATTTGGGCTTTCTGTCTCATTGCCAAATCGTCGAGACGGCCGAATTGCAAACTGACTATTCTGACAGAGCGAATGCCTAACATATTCCATTAATTCTGATTACGTCTTTTAGTTCTTTCCGCCTGACACCTTAGTAGATCTAATGAGGCTAGAAGTAAATTCCTGCGGACTTCTGAGCTTGCTGTCGCATGTTGGCGAAGACCTGCAGTAGGCTCTAAAAATATCTAATGCATCTCATTGAACATAAGACCAATGGCCAGGAACTCCGAAACAAATTGATCCACGCTCATAGCCTGCTTGCTCGTAATAGCCACAAGTGTCTAAAACTAAAATCTGAGGGGATCCCAATGATATAAAGGAAGCTTGTCAAGGCATGTCAGTTGTGCCCCATACAGTAGACCACAGCACGCAATAGCATGTCGAAATTGGCACTGATTGACATGAACGTGCTTCGCGAAGAGCCTGGGGCCCCTGTAGTGACAGTCACCGCGTTTACGACTGCAAAGCCGTATTGCGCAGCGCAAACTCATTAAGTCCCCAGAGTAATGGCTCGTGATTCCGCAATTACTGATTTCCTCGAAGGGGGAAAGCCGGAGCACGCAAAAGGTGGATGTCGCTTTGACCTACAGAGTCTGCCACAACAGATGCAAAGAGACCTGAGGTATTACTAACCTCGTCATGTCACGATTCTCAAGCTATGTTCTCAAGCACTGATGGGATCAACCCCTCGGAAAGCTGGGACTAAAGCATCCTACCTCATGAACTACATCCCGAAACACTTTTAATCCCGGGTTTTCACCAATAGATAGGTGCCGCATCTTCACCAACCTCTCTGCAAGGTTCTCGAAGTAATGCCATTATATCACATCCCCTGTCAGGCGAAGCACAACTACTGCCCTCTTTTTGTTGACCCGAAATGTTCATCAATGATAGCGAGCTTCCCCGGCATAATGAGCCTAATAAACACACGTTTGCTGGTCAAGATTTGAGGCACTTGTTCACGGCTAGGAAGGAATCATAGAACCACTAATCCTACTGTAAGTCGCAGCAAGTTTTCTTCAGTCGACCGGGAAACACGCTAACATATGAAGGAATAGAAGAACGAGTAAGTTATGAAAGAAAATGCACTCTCCACTATTTAGAATAAAAATGCGTATCTCTGTGGGGAATGCGAAAGATTGATTGTACAGACGATAGAGATCCATAGGCTCGGCAGGTGTCTCGAGTAATTCCCCGATGACTCCAATCTCCACCAACATCTTTTGGCCACTAAGAGCAGCTTTCTTGCTTGCTTTCGACTTTGCCTTTTGGGGTCGGGTGATCATGCAGTATACGATATCTATCATTGGGAGGCTGGAGGAAGAGGAAAGAAAGCGTTTACGCTCCCGAGCGCATAGTCCCTGCTGCTGTAGACATAGAACTTTATTGGTGTTGTAGTGAGTCTATGAGGTTCTCAACAAAATGTCGTAATTCAACATCGTTACTGGAAATTAATCCAACGATTTGTTGAACTATGGTTGTTGGCAAGCCACGGAAGAACCAGCAACAAGAGCGTTCGACAATACCGCCCAGTGAGTGACCACAATGAGAGCGGCTGGGTCGTTACGCAAAGTCAGGTCGTTGAAGCGATCTGGCACCTTGCTAAACCGGTCGGTTGTCGCTCCCCAGGGGACGGCTGCTTCGCCAGAGGACAGGACCTTTGCGCAACATTGGACGAGAGCGGCAATGGCTGACAGCGTGGCCGGCACGTCGCGGACGTCGTCTGCCTTTCCAAACATGTCTGCCATCCGAGAGGGAAGCGTTTGCAGGCAATTTAAATCTATATCAGGACTACTGTCGAGCCGCAGCGGAAGGTCCGTACCCGCGAAGCCCGAAACGGTGGTCAAGATGACCTGCAGTGCCCAAAGGCTCGTCAGCCCCAAAATGTCTCGGGCGTCCCGTGTAAGCTCTACACACCCCAAATATGTACAGCGCAATAGTCCTCTGATCTGACAGGCTGCCTCTCTGATCTCATCGACCGAGTCGGTGGGCTCATTCGTCGCATCCCAGCCCGCAGGGAACTCCACGAACAACTGGCGAGAGCGATTGCTATGGATCTGAGAATTCTTGTCAACTATCAGGGTCTGCCCATCGGTGGGAAGAACACTATTTCTCCAGCCTGGCTGTTATGCCCCTAATTCTTGAATCCTAGGTAATATGAGCCAACCGGCCAACGCCGCAGGTTTTTTCATCCATAGTGCGGTGCACAAGGCTCGGCCAGATGTCAATGCGGCGTTTCATACTCATAGCCCTTACGGGATGGCATGGAGCGCCTTCGGACGACCCCTGGAGATGTTGAATCAAGATGCCGCTTATCTCTATGGTCACGCGCAAGCAATTTACGAGGTATTCGCTACGTAGCTAAATTCCCAATGACCGCATCGGATAAACTGACTGATGATAGGATTCCGTGGGCGTCGTTCTTGCCCAGGAGGAAGGCAATCGAATCGGTGCGGCTATAGGTACGCTGTCCTCTTGCCTGGGTATGAGAGACATTTCTAGACTTTCAGCTCATATTCTAATTGAACAGGGCATAACGGAAAAGGTATAATACTGCATAATGACGGACTTCTTAGTGTAGGATCAACAGTGTCAGAGGCAGCCTTCTTGATGACCCTCACGGAGCGTGCTTGTCAGTGCCAGTTACTAGCCGAGGCTGCGGCAGCGAATGGTCTTCCAAAAATCACTATTCCTGACGAAAGCGCGAGGTATACACTTGAGAATTCGGGTGAACTAGAAACGCGAAATTGGGAGGGGCAACCAGATCTTGAGTACGAGAGCTACATGAGCAAAGCCGAGCATCAGCTTTGGTAGCATTTGCAGAACCCCGGGGCCAGTGCGCAGCAATCTGGTTTGTGAGAAATTTCCATCCACTATCTTTGAGTTTATCATAGAACCTTTGTGCGATTTGACAAAATCGGCGTTAGGCATTCAAGGTCTGGTAGCATAACGCTGTAAGCGCCCATGAGGCCCGAGAAAGGGACGCTTTGCTAGAATGCATATGGTACACGATACTCGAAACGATACTCGAAAGTTGAATGGGCCGGACGATATATATTTGGGACTCCTTGTTCTAGACTGTCTGCTAAGGCCCGGAACATGTACATACAGCCACTATACTATCATTCCACGACTTCATGGCCGAAGTTATTGCGTTCCTCCCGAAGTCCCAGTCAGTATTATGTACATCCTTGCGCCACCAAGGACGGTATGCCTGACTAGAGCATTGTCATAAGCCGGAGCGGAGTAAAGTAGACCCGCACCGTGTTTTCCACCCGATTCCGCCTTCCGACGGAACGCAACGGAAATCTAGCGCTTCCCATCCCAAATACTTCCCCCGTCACTACTCATCAGGTGTCTCGCGCATGTGAACGTTGCAGAAGACAGAAATTAAAGGTCAATGCGCCATGCATCAAGGGGAAAAAGAGATCTCGTTGAGATAGCTGGGGAGAAGAGTGACATAACTAGTTGCGACGACACTCGACCATGTCTCAGGTGTCAGTGTCAATTGTTTCGCCTCAATGGGCCGATATTATCCGCCCTCACAACAAGGCTATCGTGGAGATGCTCATACCTAACTAGTAATTATGGAAAAATTATTACCAGGGCCTTATGGATCTTACTCATGTGTGAGTTAGGGAGATAGAAGAAGGAAAGATCAAGTTAATCCCGCTTTTACCCATGAAACCCACAGCGTGATTCGGAAACCTCAAATGGCCTATGCCTCTAACCATGTGAAATGTCTCTTCATCTCCCTTTCAACTGTTTCTGGAATGTCTGTGCCCGGAAGGTCACTCCTGACATCAAACCCCCGTCTTTCCAATAGCCAACA